CTACACGACAGCTACGGCGACGCTGCGCAGTGACGAGACCATCTGGCTGGAGCCAGAAGTGATCTTTTCAGGACCACGCCATGGTATGGCGATGCCAAAGCTCAGCCGGTGGCACTGCGAGAGCACCCTGGCCTCCGTGTTCCACTCATCCTCATGCATATGTGTTTTGTCTTTTATTTTTTTTACTGTAGCCTTTGAATTTCCACAGATCAACTACAAGAAATACGGTGGGAAACCTTACACATACACGTATGGGCTGGGGCTGAATCACTTTGTCCCAGACAGGGTAACTATCGACAGATGGGTGAGACACGTCCTTCAGTTTAAAGACAAGAAATAGCATTTCTGAAACATGTGGGTTTTTGTTTCCCCCTCTTTAGCTTTGCAAGCTGAACGTTAAAACAAAGGAGACTTGGGTGTGGCAGGAGCCAGATTCGTACCCTTCGGAGCCGATCTTTGTTTCCCATCCGGATGCCCTGGAGGAAGATGATGGTAAATACTTGGGTTTGTTCCGGTCAGCAGGGTTTGGGCACTGGCAGCTCCCAGAGGTGGCACACTGGCTCCTAGTGCCAGTGGGAAGTTTCTGAGGAAACATGGGGAACAAAGCAGGAGAAAGACCTCTTGGTGCAGATGAGCCGCCACCCTCATTTCCCAGCCTTTTGCCTTCGGCAGTCACGATATTTAAAGAATTCCAGGTGGCAGAATGTGGTAAAAATGGAATCCCTCTTAAACCAGATGTGTTTTCTATTCTTAACCCATCGTCCTTGTGCAGAAGTGAAGGGAATTCAGGCTCAGGACACAGAGTTGTACCTGTTCCGAGCGCTATACCTGTTTCTTCACTTATCCCCAGCCCTGAACCTATTTTTGAAGGTCAGCGGTTGGCCCACGAAGGTGTCTGCTTGTTCCCTCACTTCCTCATCTCCCACCAGGAGTACATGAAGCTGGGAAAAGACTTGGCTGTGCTGAATTTAAGAGCCAACTCCCCATGGTTTACAGCGAGAGTTTCATGTTTCATAGCCAAAACATTCCAGATTTCAGAGCAAAATTTCATATAACCTGCTCCCAGTTCAGGGAAGTGCTTGTACGAGGGCTTAAGTCCACTTAATTATAAATTAATTCCTGCAACTGGAAATATTAATGGATGAATTTGAGACACAGTCCAGTATGTGATGCTTGTCATCGACCTCTGCGATGGCTTTTTGTAGTTCCTTTCTAGAATAAAAACTTTTCTCAGTTTTAAAAAGAAATTCTAGGTGAGCTACTGTACTGCAGCACCCTGGGCTGGCAAGCAAGAACCTAAAATAGGGCGAAAAATAAACAGTCTTGTCACCTACTTCAGACCCGATGATTGTGCAACAGGGACGGGAATTACAGATGCCCCATCGCACACCACGCGATTTTTCTTTCCCTTTTTTTTCAGGAGTTGTGCTGAGCATCGTGATCAGTCCAGGTGTGGGGCCGAAGCCTGCCTACCTCCTCATCCTCAACGCCAAAGACATGAGCGAGGTGGCAAGGGCTGAAGTGGAGGTGAACATCCCCGTGACTTTCCATGGGCTCTTCAAGAGAGCATGACCACTGCCCGCAACGTGGCGCCTTCGGTTTCTCCCGGCTCCACAAAGTTGCAGGTTCCCTTTGCCAGCACTCGAGTGGCATAAATCCCTTCACCATCGCTGTTTATCCATATGGCTACTTGACTGAGCATTTTGTTTTTGTTGATGATTCTTCAAAATACCTGACCAAGTATTTCTCACATGCACCCTTTGGTATAATTTCCTGGCAGCTGGAACGACACAGGGTTGAGGTGGTGGGGGCAAGGTTTTTGGTTTTTACAAAATTAAATTTTGCAGCAGAGGGAAAGATGCACGAAGCGGCACGGTGTAAACTCAACCCCTGTACCCGTGGTAACAGTATATAGAACAGCTTGGTGCTCTGCTACACACTTTGAGGAAAGGTCATTTGTAGCTGATGCTGAAGTAATCGCGGATTTAAATCCCCTCTTGGTCACTGTGTTGGTATCCTCAGTGTGACCCGAGCGGAGCCTCGCGGTAGCTGCTTTGGGGACACGAACCGCAGGCCTGAGGCCACGTGGCGGGCAGCAGCGGCTTTGTCCCTTACTAAGGCTAAGTGGCACACGTTAGCTTCCACCGTTTCTCTTTCCCATTTCTCTTGTCAAAATGCAGCTTCTTGAGTTCTGGATTTCACGCTAAAACAGGAACATGAAAAAATTGGGCACCTGTTACCACTCGGGATGAATTTGCTTCCTTAGAGTGCTCTAGGCTGAGAGCTTGATCCTTGCTTTTCACAAAATAAATGTTCGACTAACGTAGTAAGAGGCTATGGTTCAAAATACAAACTTACCGCTAACAGACTTAAAATCCAGGATTCTTGTTTGTCTGCAATGGTTTCACGTTTTTATTAATGGTATCGAAGAATTAGAAAATCATTCATATTAAAGATTTCTAGTACAAGGTGCTAACTTTAAAAGGCTGATGATTTGAAAACGGCTGCAGTCACATTCTGATGACAGGATACCGACACGGAGACACGACCTGGTGCTTCTGCTGTTCTATAATCTCCAAGCACTGGGCAATCACCTAATTAAAAACAGAAAACTAATATAAGTGAGGGGTTTCTGAAACAAATAATTAGTAGAACTTACTCGTTATGCACTCATTCAATACTGCATTTGTTCTTTCTTTTTGCAATCACCTATCACCAATGAACAGAATGTCTTGCTCTTCCACATCCCTCTTTTTCTAAGAAATCACCTTTCTTGGCGTTTTGTGTGACTGGTTTTGGTCTTTAAAAACAAGATAAGTCTCTGTATTCTACTGCTACCAGAGCACATACTGTCTTTTAAAACCCTATTTTTAAAAAAAAAAAAAGCAGCAGGTTAAGGATGTGACTGAGTATGTGCTGCTGGTTCAGACAGAGCCAAACACAAACTCCATCTCTTAGCAAGAAAGTAGCAACACCACATCCTCAAAAACAGCAAAACACACAAACAGCAGCTTCGTGCTCTGGTGAAAGTTATCCAAGAGTAACAAGGATTTGTTTCAGCTGGGTTTTCTTTTCCTGTGCAGCTCACAGAGAGGGGCAGGCTTGGGGCTCTAGCACTGGAAACAACTTCTCAGTGCTCTCCCAGTATCCAAGTTTCCATAAACTCCACAAAAATACTTAACATCTGCATCGCACTGTATTTAAAAAGACTAACAGGTAACAGGCTCTATTTAGGATCTTGAAGTAATCAAGCTTCGGAAGTGCAAAGAGCCTTTTAAGCATTGCTAATAAACAATCTAACGAAGCAAAACAGAAGAACAAAGGCGACGGCCTTCCGAAAGAGTCTAACGGAGCACATGTCTGCCAACTCAAAAACATAAACAAAAAGATGGGGGGGGGGG